ATGACAGAACCGGTTCAGGGATTTACCCAAGTCCCAATTAAAATCCAGGGATGGGTAGGGCCAGACCGTGCCCCCAGGTCCCGGCTGCTTTCGGGCATCCTCCCCCTGTATCAGGAGCTCCGAGCAACCTGAAGATGCAGCCAGCAGCATGGGCGCGTGTACCTGGGAAACCTGGGAGGACCAATCCAGTTGCCTCGGTAACTCACAGAGCAATCCTTTGCCCCATATAAGAGGTTGATGCTTAAACTCAGGATAAAAACCACTTTCACACATCTTGGGCTGAGAGCAGTAGAAATGGGTCAGAAGCCAAGGAAGAGTGTGTCATTCACGGTGGTGTCTGGGAAAGGGACGCTTTTTGCTATTGGAAGCCGTCAGGAAACGCAGGAGAAGGCAGAGGTGCCAGGACAAGTGACGCAACGGAGCCCAGTCAGATTTCAGGCAGTCTTATAAATAGTCTTCAGACTTTAATTCTTCCCGTTAAGAAAAAGTGAGTTCATTCTGGGAATGGAATGGAGTCATTTTTCCTTCGACAATCAATTGAGACTCTGGGAAACCAATGAACCATTTGAAGCAAAGCCTGCAAATATGCTCATGTGCTTAGACCCAGTGATCTCCTGCTGGGAATCCAGCTGTGAGTGCAAACCAATAGACTCACTGCGGTGCTGTTGATAACGGCGAAAGAGCAACAATTTAGTGATCTGATAGCAAAGGGATGGTCGAAAGCTCTGTGTATTCACTGCGGTATTCTGCAGTCATCAAAAATGATAAAAATTAAGATGGATATGAATGTGGTAAAATTTCTACAACAGAATATTGAATGGAGAAAGCTGAATGCAAATGGCATCTATAGCTACACAATGTTCACAGCATGTGTGCATGGATGTGGGACTAGGGAATTCAGTGTACAAACATGAGTGTATTGAAAAAAGGTCACGGAGTGGGTGGTTTTTCTCCCCCCCCCCCGTTTTTTTATATTAATCTTTCAACTAGGAAGAGAACATCTCTTGCAGAAAAATGAAATTTAATGGCATGGAAAAAAGTTTATTTAATATTATGAATAAAATATCTATTACAGAAGATATGTATATATGCATTATATCTACATCAAAAAAGAAAAAAGGGCTTCATAGATATATACCCAAAGTATTACCATTAATGTCTCTAAGTTGTGGACAATCGATGACTTATTTATTTTTTTATGATGTTATTTTTTTCTATATTTCCGACAAACACTATATGTCCCTTTTGAGAATTGAAATATCAGTGAATAAACGGATGGATGGATGGATGGATAGATAATAGATGGGCAGGTGAGAAGGCGGGTAAGGTATGGGATGGATGAATGGAGGTGTGGGTGGGTAGGAGGATATATGACTGGCCAGCTGGATATATAGGTATACGTGTGGGTAAGCTGATGGATGAATAGAGAAAAAAGAAAGAGAGAAAGAGAGAAAGAGAGAAAGGAAGAAAGGAAGAAAGGAAGAAAGAAAGAAAGAGAAAGAAAGAAAGGAAACAGAGAAAGAAAAAAGAAAGAAAGAAGGGAGGGAGGGAAAGAGGGAGGAAGAAAGGAGAAAAAGAGAAAGGAAAAAAGAAAAAGAAAGGAAAATAAAAAAGAAAGGAAGAGAAAAAGAAAGTAAAAGAAAAAAGAGAAAGGAAAAGAAAAAAGAAAGGAGAGAAAGGAAGAACTAAAGAAAGAAAAAGGTAGGCTGAATGACTGGCTGGATTGATGGATGGGTGTGTATGGATTAAGGAGTGGATGGAAGGATAAAGAAGGAAAGACAGAGAGAGATGGGGTGAATGGACAGATGGATAGATGATAGATACATAGACAGATAGCTAAGTAGATTCATATAGATGTCTCTCTCTTCTTTTCCTTCCTTCCTTCCTCCTTCCTCCCTCCCACCCGTCCCTTCCAAATTCCTTTCACTGGGATGAAACCAGGAGCATAGCCTCCTCAAAAGGAAAGGGAGGCGAGAGCGATGACAGCAATCTTCTGCCCTCAGCCCTCTTCTGCTGCTCCACGCTGGGGTGGGAGAGAAGTGCTCTCCCTGTGTCTCCGTGCCCATCTCCCACCCCAGTTCTGCCAGGCTACGCTCCAGCAGGTGCAGAAGAATAGTCGTGGCCACATCAGACCCAGCTTCAGAGCCCCAAGAAGGACACACACAAAGGCCCCAGGGTCTTGGTTTCCAGGGAAATGGAAGGTTAAGTTAGGGACGCAGAAGGGTTCATTCAGGTCTTTACCACCAAGATTAACTGGCATACCTACAAGGCATCCCAGGTGATCTTTTAATTTATATGTTCATTCATTTGTTTCTCCAGCAGCCTCTGTGGGTCACCTGTGGGAGAGAGTGCACAGGGCGGATGGTTCCAGGCCTGGCGGTGAGCGCAGTAACCAAGGTCCGCCTGAGTCCTGTGGCCACCTGGGGAGGACAGTGACTGGCCCCTCTGCTGAGCGAGGTTGGGCGTGTCTGAGCTGGACTAGGACAGTGAGTGTGATGTCACCAGATGGTGACGGAAGTGAGGGTCGCCCAGGTCAGGGAATCAAGGATTAGCATTGGTGAAAACACAGGAGCAGAGAGAAGGCAAGAATCTCCCGGGCCCCACAGGCTTCCCTGTGGTAGGGTACACTGCAGCAGGCAAGGGCTGCGTGAGAGGCTGCTGGAAAGAACAGGGGCAATCACAGGGGTGCTCACATGGGGACTGAGCCTGGTGTTCTGAGGCTTATGGCTTGCACAATTGGGGCAGGGGGTGGGGAACTCTTAAAGAATACAAAAGCATTTTCCTTTTTGCAAAGGTTTTACAAACCAGTGGCCATGTGAACACATGACTAGGCCCCTCCCAGGACCCTGCACAACGAGGGGCCCAGAGTGGGAGCCACAGTGAACCCACCCTGGTGCTACCTGTGTGCCCTGGGCAACGAGCCGGCGCTGAGGGACCTTAGGGAAAAGGGTGGAACGGCAGCACACAGGATTCAGAAAAGGAACTTCTAACTGTGCATTGCCATCGATTCCCATTGGCTAAAGCAAGACATGTTCTTTGCACCAGAGGCAGCGATGTGCCCAGAATGGGCAACTAAAACTCAGAGATGCCCCTGGCTCCTGGGCACGACTGTCTCACCCGCAGCTGAGCACAGTGGAAGAGCAGCCCGGTTGTCAGCCTGCTTCCTGCCTTCCCAGAGACAGAAACCATGCCCCCACAGTGTGTCCTGGAATGAAACATGCCCACGAGGCAGTGACGGGATGAGGTGACTATCAAGGCTGTCTAAAGAATGAAAGTAAGTTTTGTCTACTTGTTTGCTTACTTAAGACTGTCACAGCTAATTTGTTTGTTTGTTTGTTTGTTTATTTTTGTATGTTTAGTGGAGATGGGGTTTTGCCATGTTGGCCAGCCTGGTCTCGAAATCCTGACCTCAAGTAATCCACCTGCCTCGGCCTCCCAAAGTGCTGGAATTATAGGCATGAATTATAGCATACCTTGCTATCCAGGCAGGCACTGCTAGACAGGAGCTCCAGGCAGCTGGTGACTCTGCAGACTGGCACGGGCCACGGCCGCAGCCACCGGCCTGGATAGCAAAGTCTTCAACATCATCTCACTCTGGCCTATGATTTCCTCTCCTCTTTCTTTCTTTCCCTGGGCTGTGATGGGTATGAACTAGACCTCATATGGCTCCATGCCATAGTAAAGTGGGAAAAATCAGGCAGCACCAACCCCAGCAGTGAGACCGACTAATGCTGCCAACACACATCTGACAATGCTAAAACCCAGGTAACAGGACCACACGAGCCAGCCACCCTTCGCCCACGCCCACCCTGGGCTTCCATGTCCCCTGCTGCACAATGTGGTGGGTGGATGACGGGCCCCACCTGGGGCTGTGGATGAGAAATAGCCCATAAAACTTTCCGTAAAGCTCTGTACACCTATAAAGTGCTATTAAAGTAATGACTATAGATTAGGATCAAAACTGAAGGGAACACGCATGCCCATTTGGGCTCTCCCAAGACCCACTCCTTGGCCCAGAGGGCCTGGGAAAACACACGGCTGCCCTTAACTTCAGCAAGTTACAACTGCTTCCCCATAGACAAAAGCCAGACAGAGGTGACCTGCACAGGGACTGAGTCATCCTCAGTTTCTTCCAGTGCTTTTTGGCTGGGATGTTGCTCCTAATCCTCACTAGATTTGCATCCTTTTATTATTACTCTGTGTGCTCTCCTGCCTTCTCCACAATGTCCCAGTGAGTTCTGAGAGCCTGTGATATATTTCCACAGCACATCCATAAACACAGGTGTGTTTCCAGATTATTTCAAAAAGAAGAAAAAAAGTGACAGTCTTTTTTTTTTTTTTTTTTACAGAGTCTCACTCCATCGCCCAGACTGGAGTGCAGTGGTGCGATCGTAGCTCACTGCAACCTCCGCCTCCTGGGTTCAAGCAATTCTCCTGCCTCAGCCTCCCAAGTAGCTGAGATTACAGGCACCCGCCACCACACTCACGCCTATAATTCCAGCACTTTGGGAGGCCGAGGCAGGTGGATTACTTGAGGTCAGGATTTCGAGACCAGGCTGGCCAACATGGCAAAACCCCATCTCCACTAAACATACAAAAAACAAACAAACAAACAAACAAATTAGCTGTGACAGTCTTAAGTAAGCAAACAAGTAGACAAAACTTACTTTCATTCTTCAGACAGCCTGATAGTCACCTCATTCCACTTTACGAGTGTAAAGTCATCACGAGGAGAAAATTGTTCTACATGTAGGTCATGAGTTGACATTTTCTTTCATCATCAATAAAAACAGCAGGTTCCAATGTGTAAAATTTGGATTTATCTCTTTAGCATAACTCAAATGAAATAAACCATCCCTACCAGATAATAACTTTTTAAAATAAAAAAGTTGATGTAGAAAACATTTTAATCAATACCACAAGTAGCACTTGATGTAATATTTATGTCTTACTTGGAAACCGTTTCTTTTTGCAAAACTATATTTCAAAAGACAGAATAGTCATGGTACAAAAACGTTTATTTAAATTAAATATTTTCAACAAATTAATATTGACAACTGTTTCAAAGTATGTGTCGTTCTTTCAAAAAAATGAAACAGTTTAGCTTAATGGCTGTGATACTGTTTTATGAGATTATTCATACATGCTCTGGACTGCACACCCGTCAATCATATCATCAACAATTTACTATTTATTACCAAATGGCATATAAAGTAATAGCATAAAGAGTAATCATATCTTATAAGTGATTTTATAATAGGACATCTTGGGAGGGCAAAAAGGATTTATCAACAATACAAAACATAAGATAAAAATAATAGGAGATTATATAAAACATATTTCATACAGGAAATAATATGCTAAAATAAAAAAAAAAAAACAACTGTCTTTCAGCACACTGTTACACATGCTCCTTCACAGGAGGTCTGGGAGAAAGATGAAAATGTTTTGGGGTCAGGTGTCCAGGGCTCAGAAACATTTTTGGAATCACAGTGAGTTTCTGATTTGTGGGAAGTTGCTCTAAAGCACTGGCTGAGGACTTTGCCTGAGGACCTGGCTGGTGAGGAAGACACACTCTCACTGCTGCTGGAGGAAGCATGCTCGGGCTAAGTCAGGGGCTGTTTGAGTTAGCGACTAGTTCAGCAGTGGAGGAAGAGTAGAAAGAAGAGAAGAAGAAATCCCAGAAAAGAGAGTAAAGAAACTGGAGACGGCTGGGAAGGAAGCACCTTTCAAATCTACAGAGGGGGAAGTGTATATCCAGATTTGAGGACAGTGACTTTGCTTGGTTGTAAAGTCCTTTTAGGAACCCGGGCTCTTTGGGTCATCAGAAACAGGGAGTTGGCAAGAAGCTGTCATTGTTAATAAAAATATCTGATTTAGACTTTAAGAGTTGCATGAAGTGGGCATGTGTCTCTCACACTCCTTTTATATATTCAGACTGTGCAGATTCTTTTTTTTTTTTTTTCCTTGAAATGGAGTTTCACTCTTGTTGCCCAGGCTGGAGTGCAATGATGCAATCTTGGCTCACTGCAACTTCTACCTCCCAGGTTCAAGACATTCTCCTGCCTCAGCCTCCCAAGTAGCTGGGATTACAGGTGTGCACCACCACTCCTAGCTAATTTTGTATTTTTCGTAGAGACAGGGTTTCATCATGTTGTCCAGGCTGGTCTTGAACTCCTGACCTCAGGTGATCCACACGCCTCGGCCTCCCAAAGTGCTGGGATTACAGGCGTGAGCCACCATGCCCGGCCTAGACTGTGCATATTCTCTTGAAGTGTGTGTATAATAAAGAGAGACAGAGACAGAGAGAGAGAGAGAGAGAGAGAGAGAGAGAGAGAGAGAGAGAGAGAACTGCTTTAAAATGTATATTTAAAATAAAATAGTTTTAACTCAATCCCATTTTCTGTAATATAGGTAGCCATACTGGTTAATGTCTCAAATCAGGTTGACTGTTTTTTGTCAAATTGTGAGTCCCTTTGGAATTTTGTGGTCATTTTGGAAAGGAGTGCAGAAAGTGCAGAAAGCCTCGTGGTCCTTGGGCTGTGCACACAAAATTATCACCAGATCATAGGTTAGTGAGCTCATTAATGAGTCAGATTTCCCCATCTTCCTTTATTAACCTTGAGAGAACCCTAAATCAGAAAACTGTGGACCAGAAGGGACCTCGGCTATCAAGTCTGTCCCACCATTAGTTTCGATGATGGCTACAAAGAAAAGAGGTCGGTGAATATTCTACTGGGAGACAGCAACTCTCAGGGGCTGGAGGAAAACTCACTTGAAGGCATATACTTAAAATGCAGGCTGCAGGAGCTTGAATGTGGGGAAGGGGATGGAGGCGGCACTCGGATAAGCAGAGTCCAGCTTAGGCCAAAGGCTCTGGGGCCACAGTTCAGACCTCCCTGCCCTGAGTGGTGGGAGGAAAGCTAGTGTGGCTGCCGGGCTCCCCCGCCACTCAGGGCACAGGAAGGAGAGGGTGTGAGGGCTGGCTGGGCGCAGCGCCTCCAGCTCTATGACACACTGTAGCTGTTGTAGTAGGTGGCCGTGGCATCAGCCAGGACAGAGATGAGGCTGGTCTCTGTGGGACCCGTTGGTGTCACCTGGGAGACGGGGACATGCCCACTGAGGGCCATGGTCCCTGTGGCAGAGTCTGGGTGGCCAGGAGTGTTCAAATACTGGTCGAATTCATTGCGATCCATGTCCCCCAGGAGTTCCACCTGACTCAGTTGATCCAGGGCATCCAAGCCAGGGTGCTCAGGAGGCGGGGAGAGCTGGCCCAGGTGGGCTTGGAGGTTGGAGTGGAGAGGGTGGTAGGTGGCCGGGGAGTAATAGGCAGGAGATGGGGGACAGCCGGGTACAGGGGACATCATGGAGACGCCGGGGGACTGGCCAAGGGCCAAGGAGCCCAGGGAGTGGCTACAGTGGAGAGGGCTGGGGGCGTACTCCGGTGAGTACCGGGGCCCTGGCAGATGGGGGATGCGGCGGGGGTGGCCGTGCTCCTCCTGGCAGGGGGAGGAGAAGAAGGTCTGCTCCGGCTCCAGCACGTCCAGGGGAGACATTTCAGGAGGTGTGGGCAGCCCGTACGGGTACGTGTCCACACTGCTCGGGGTGCCGCCGCCGCCACCACCAGCCGGCCCCTCGTGGTAGCAGCCCCGGAGGCTGGGCAGGGCAGTGCCGGGGGAGTACTCACCCCTGTCCTCCTTCTCCCCCAGCGCCCCCCGGCTGCCGCTTCTCTTCTCCGGCAGGGCGTTCTGGTCCCGGGAGAGGGAGCTCAGGAGGAAGCCGGGGTCCACGCGCTTGCACAGCCGCTTGGCCTGCTTTTTTCTGCGCGGCCGGTACTTGTAGTTGGGGTAGTCCTGCATGTGCTGCAGGCGCAGCCGCTCCGCCTCGTCCACATACGGCCTCTTCTGAGACAGCGTCAGTGCCTTCCACGACTTTCCTGCTCACACAAGGCAGAGGAGGCCATGCTCAGTGTTGTGCCCCTCAGGCATTGCACATGCACACGCGTACACACACATGGGCACATGTACACACACCTCCCTTCACCCTCTCAGTCACAGAGGACACGGGCACCTCTTGCACCCTCTTCCCAACCCAGATCCTGCAGACACAGTGAGGCGAAATCAACACCTCTGCTTGCATCCATAAAGCCAGATCGTGCACTGTGCACACAGAGAGCATGGCCTCTCATGTAAGAGCCACCAGAGCATGCCCAGGCTACAATGCAGGGTCCCCAGTGAAAAAAGCCCACCTGACCATATTCAGCTACAGGAAGAAAATACCTCATGATCACAATATTGATTGGGGCTCTTTTTACCCTTCGAGGGTCCATTCTAAACATTTGTGCATTCTCATGAAAATCTCTGCCTTCATTGATTAGTGCAGGCTAAAGAGATACTGTCATAGTTACCTATGGCATAAATCTCACAGCCCTTTCTGGGAGGGAACTCAGGCTCAGTCAATAGTTTCACAGATGTCAGTAAATCAGAGATTTTCACTTAGGTTAACAAATGCCTATTCCTTACCTCTGAAGGTCAAATAGGACCCTGCTGGATGACCGAGGCCAGAATGCTAACATCTGCCTGCAACGCATGTATGCATGCCCAGACACATGCGTGCACACACATATGCATGCAAACCATCACTTCCAGCCAGCCATCTTTTGGGGACCCTTGACGGTGCCAGGGCACCTGCTTAGCCACAGATCTCCATGCAGAAGCCATTCCCTGCACTTCTCTGAGTCTCTATTTTCTTCAGTATAAAATAAAGATATTGTGACACTCTCCAGCTCCAAACTCTCTCTTTAAAAATTATTCCATGCTTGCAACCCACTGGTGCTAATATGCTGGCTGTGCTTGATCTTCTATTCACCATTGCTTGCTTGTCTGTTGTTTTTCAAGTCCCCGGAGCATCTTCCCTCATCTCTCAGTGTGCACTGCACACCCCTCCTGCAGTGTTTTCTAGGGGTGGAAGGCTTCTTGGGTTGCTTTGCTACCTCCTAAGGTGGGCTCAGGATTCTACAACTTTAACATGTTCTCCCACGATGCTAATATGTCCTGAAGTTTGAGATGCATTAACCTAGAGGTTAAGGCCTAAGGAAAGGGCTATGTGTTCCATTCAGCACATTCTGCACAGGGCCAGGTGCAGAGCCGTGCACACAGCGGCCCTCAGTACCTCTGTCGACTGGTTCCTTGGGCCGGGGCTCACAGCCAGGGTAGGGCAATGATTAAGGGCATTGTACCACTTGGATGAAAGTTTATAGAAATTCTGTGGAGCTTTTAACTAACATCATTAGCTGTCACTTAAAAGCGTGACTTGAAAGTGTTAGGAGCTGCAGATTCAGGGCTGATCATCAGTTCCCAGCCTGTGGCTGAGGCTACAAAGCTGTTGCAAGCGACCCAAGATTCAGGTGCACCCCATACCCTGTCCGTGGTCTCAGTATAAAATGTGGCCCTAGCTTCTAAATGTATCCGGATGTTATATGATCAATAAAATACGTGTTCATTTTAAAATGCTACCAAATATCTCCTTCTCTTTATGCACTTTCTCAATCATAATATATTAAAAATACCATTGTGACTAGGTCACATTTTTAATGTTAAGGTTTGGAAGGTTTATAGTGGAAAAAGTTGAGACTCTCATATGCAGGCTTTTCCTCTCAGGTCAGAAAGGAAAGAGCCAAGAAGGAAATGTCACACAGGTGGAGGGGATCATCCCGCTGCCCCCTGCTAACAGGTGCACAAAGTCCATATTGTGAAAAGCACCAGTGTTGCGGTTTCCCTCACCCAGTGCCAGGAGCTACATGGCTCAGCAGGAAGGAATCCGTGTTTTTTCTGCAGAATGAACTGTAACCTCCTGAAGCTGAAGCGTGGGCCCGACTGGGACCAATTCACAGGAAGCATCTGTCTCCTGTGTCCCTGTCTGCCCCTTTCCTGGGAGCAGGCTTCCCCAATTCCGAAGGGCCGTGCTTCTCACCCTTCCCTCCTCCCCAATCCCTGGCCCAGGCCTGCACAGAATTCCTTCTCTATCACCCTCACAGCAGTGGCTTGCTTCCCCCTCAGCAGGCATGGTCAACAGGCACAGTGCCCAGGGTCCGTGGAAAAAAATGTTTGGGGATCCACAACAAACATATTTTCATTTCTTTTAAAATCTAAAGGAAAATATAAACTAATCGGTTAAAGAAAATGTTTTATTATTGTACATATTAATATATTTGTCTTTATGCCAACACTGTGTAAAATAAAAATGTTACTGTTTTTTGATGAGGGAAAAGGCCCCAGAAGGCTGCAGACCACTAACGCGAGTTGGTGAAGCCAGCCACGAGGCTGGGCCCTTTGCAACCAGCACTCCATCAACTGCTTTACACAGCAGCTAAACTGCAGGAGGGCTCGGCCTGGGACCCGCTCTGCGGGCCTGCGGCTTTGACCGGCAGAAAGAGGGGCGTCAGTCCTATCTCCAAAGTTCCGCCCCGGGAAAGAGCCCTGAGCGCTGAACTCCGACGAAAAAAAGAAGGGCTCTGTTCTGGGCAGGGTGGGGTTTGGGAAGGGTAAAGACGGCCTCGGGTGCCCACACGTCCCTTCTTATAGGACCTGTCTCCCGCTGCGTGCACCAAGTGCTTGTGCTTTGAAAGGTTTTCGCCGATTAAAACGAATAAAAACCGCGTCGAAAGGCAAAGAAGTTAGGGGTTAGGTAGGGTCGAAAAGTACTCAGCTCGATACCAGAGGAAAAAGAAACCCCCACAGGAACTCCTGTTGTTCGGGTGTGTCCTAACAGCCTCACTCCGGACCTCTTGAACCTGGTGGGTCCGTGTCCCCAGCCCCTGCGGGGACAGCCCAGGAAAAGGCCGGGTTCCAGGACAGCCCAAGCATCCAAATCAAGTTATCTACACCCCCGAGGCTGATAATAGATGAACGAATCGAGTCTATTGGGGTAAGTTTTTTGTTTTGTTTTTCTCTTAATTATTTAGTTAAAGCAAGGATTCCTTCCGCAGGGTCTCTCTTCAGGAATATTCGTTAATTATAATTTCATCTGTGACAGCCTTCCTCTGAGATGGCCCAATTGTAAGATCCAGGGAATGCTGGGTCTTCCCACTTCGGTATTTCTAGCAAACGCCGGTTCCACCCAGCCTCGACGTTTCCGTCCCTGCCCTGTCCATGCGTGCTGGTCCCTGCGGCCAGGCTTCCCAGCCTGGCCGCTGCCCCGTCTCTCCGCCCCCTGGGGCGCCGACCTCCGCTCCTGTCCCAGCAAAGGAGCCTCCCCTGCCTGCCGCGCTGTTTCACTTTGGACCGCGCCAAGTGCCCCAGCTCTGAATCCTGGGCACCGCGAGCACCCACGCTCGCGCAGACGGCCAGCCACGCGGGCACGAAGAGGGCCCTCGCCCCGCGTGCCGGGTTGTCCCCAGGCTCCGCGCTCGCACCCGCCCTGCCAGGCAGCCAGCCGCTCGCCGTCCGCCCCCCGCCCCCAGCCCCCAGCCCGCCCGACCGCGCGCTCACTCACCCAGCATCTTGCTGAGCTCGGCGTTGTGCAGGTCAGGGTTCTGCACCGCCAGCCGTTTCCTCTCGTCCTTGGCCCAAACCATGAAGGCGTTCATGGGCCGCCGGATACGGCTCTCGGAGCCCTTGTCCCCCGGGGGCCGAGGGGCGGCGGGCGGCGACTGTCCATCCGACAGCTCGGCGTCCAGGGCCGGGCACTCGAGCCCCTCGGGCCAAGGGTAGGCTCCCAGCAGCGAGGCCATGGCCGCACGCGGGTCGCCTCGCTTAGCTTGGCGGGGCCGGCGCGGACCTGGCCCTCGCACCGGTCGGGGCGTCCAACTTGGCCCGCAGCCGCGACCCGGCCCCTGATTTATCAGCTTCGGGCTGCCGCGTCCTCCAATGACTCTCCAAGGCGGCGCGGCCCCTCCCTCGGTGTCGGCACGGGTCCCCTCCCTGCGTCCCGGGCCGCCGCCGGGTCCCCGCTCCAACCTGCCGGGAGGAGGAGGGAAGAAGGGAGGGAGGCAGGGCCTCCTCCCCGCACCCGCCCCCGGCCCGCCCCTCCACCGCCAGGGGCCCGCCCGGGGATCTGCGCCGGGCTGGCCCCGGCCGCCTCCCGCCCCCTGCCCTGGACCCGCAGGTGCCGCAGAGCCGCAAGGCAGGCGCTGGAGGCCCGCTCCAGCCCGGGCCTGCCCGGGTCAGACTCCACTGCCCCTCCTGCGCGTGGAGCCTCGGAAAACCCAATCCAACCAGGTTTCGCCGAGCTCGCCTGGGCGTGAGAGACACTGACCATGAACCCCTCAGATCAGCCGTTCTTAATACTCCGACTGCCATTCCTTTCTAAAATGACCGGGTTTCGGCCACCGCAGCCCCAGCCAACTGGGGTCGCCACAGAGGCCGGCCGGAGCCGGAGCTAGGGACTGCACCCCGCCTCGGGTTCTGTGCAGTGTTCGCCGAAGGCCCCGCGACGCCCCCGCCGCCCCTGGCTCTCAGGAGGGCGAGGCCGGCGTTCTGGTTCTCAGCCACCTGGTTGATTTCTCCTCTCACTCCACCCGCACCCAGTCTCCGGGGCCAGGCCTCCAGCTCCCTCACTTCTGGCTCTTCTCACCCTGAATTTTCTCCTTATATTTTCTCTTTCCTCCTCGGATTGGCAGTCCGGCTTCTCCGAAAGGAGTCGCTCCCGCCCTCTCGCGTCCCCCCTGGCTGAGCTGCGACCTGCTAACTCCCCCAGTTTCCCTCATCTGCACACCCTGGTGTACACCGACCGTGCGTGCCGGGCCCGTGTGCAGCCTGGGGACTGCGGGCTGGGAGCTCACGGCCGTCGCTTGCCCGCGCTCACCGCAGCTCCCATGTCACCCGGCCCCCTGTGTGGAGCGCTGTTCCCGCACTCTCATATAAGCGCCGGCACACAGTAGGCGCTCAAGGCCTGCAGAATGAGTGAGCAAATATGGCTCAGACACCTACTGAATGAAAGTCGGCAGGTTTGACTAGATCCTGGAATTCAATATTTACTGAGCGCCCTCCATGTGCCGGGCTCCACAGAGGTGATCCTGGAAGGAGGCAGCGTTGTGGGGGTGGGGGTGGGGGTGCCGTGGGATCCGGTGTCAGAACCTGTCTTAGTGTTTAGGTGACTGAACGTGCGACTCTGGACAAGTCACATCTCTCTGGATCGCCTTTCCTAATCCTAACACGGGACGATGATAAGACTGACCTTTCAGGGCTGTTGTGAAGATTCGGTGAGACAAATGTAGAGAAAGCTCCAACCCTTCCTGTGATGCTTGACGTTAATACAACTCTAGGCATGAAGCCCGTGAGCCTGAGTCCGAATTTCAATGTTCCCGCGCGCAGCAACCGATGCCTTGCATGCAACATGCAGCGGGCCCCACGGCTAAGACCCGGCAAGTGTAAGGTGAACTGCAGCGTCTCTGTTTTCACGTCCTAACTTTCACCTCTAGAGCCCGGGACAATTTTCATCCGAGAATTAGCTTTTCGAACAAAAGAGATGGCTGGGCTTGCCAGGATTCAGTAGCAGCACCCTGGGCCGGTGCGCCCCAACCGCTGCACTGGCGGGCCGGGAATCTAAGGGTATGGGGCGAGGTGCGCGCTGCGCAGCACGGGCAGAGAACAGGGTGCCCACCGCTGGGGCAGCATCCAGGAACCAGAGGCGGAGCGGTGGGGGACCCAGTGGGGGCCGTTTGCAGAGAGTTTGTCCTCCATCTAGGCGGACTTCCCAACCCTGTAAAGCCCAGGCCATCTCCAGTGGCCGACCCCTTTCCCGCATGTGCCTCCAGCAAAACCCCTAGGCCAGGGTGCGCCTCGTGGAATCCAGGGCCGCGCCTGGCCAGGAGAAGGGAGCTCTTTGAGAAAGGGGAGAAAGAGGGTCCCACTTTGGGGCTTGAGCTGCGGCGGAAGATCCAGGGAAGAGCTCGTCCCCGACCCTTTCTGACCCTACTGAGCTCCAGGGCGGGGGCGGTGCTCAGCAGGGTCGGAGGCCACGAGGGGACAGCGCCCCCTTCCCGACGACTGGTGTCCCCACTCCCCGCCCCAGCCCGTAGCGCCCTCCCTGCATGGCCCCAGAGCAGAGCGCGCAAGCCGTGGGGCCGCGCCCGGGCACCAGGTTAGGAAGATGCGCCCTCCCCAGGGAACACGGAACGGTCAAGTTAGATCCCAGACACCGACGGCAACAACAGAGAAAACAACGGGGACGGGGCCAGAGAATACGTGTTGTGATTGTTGTCTGCACTTGTTTAGTTTCTTGCTTTTCCTCTGCAGAGAGCTTGCAAGCCTGGGCTGTCCAGGAGGTGATCATCAACCTTTCCAGTGCTGATGCGGGCGCCGCCCGGAGCTCGGGAATTGCCAGCACCGCAGTAGCCGGGCTCGCTTGCTCCATTCCTTCATTCCCTTGCGTCCACGCATTTATGCACCTTGGCAACCGTATGCGAGCGCGCCCTGGTGCAGGCGACGTCAAGGGACGCGGGGTCGCCATAACCTCGCCGCTTCTCTGGTCACTGCGAGCTTGTCCTTCCAGAGCTCCGCGCTGACCCTACGCGACCCCAAAGCCTGGAGCTCGGAGGGCTGAGCTAGAGGCGGAGGGAGCCAGCCCTGGCATGCCGACACTTGTGTCGTCAGCGCTGGGTTCGGGGCTGCGGCCAGCTGTGGGTCCAGCGGCTCTTAGGTCGAGGCTAGGCGCGGCGAATCGTCACGGCGCGGACCCTGAAAGACCTGGCGGAGAAAGGTCAAGGCCCAGGGCTACCGGGTTGGATCTTGCGGGGCTCTGACCTTCGGCGAGACCGGTCAGGGGCAGCCAAGCAGAGGCGGAGAGGCAGGGCCGGTGTGATGACGCGGGGCACACTGGACAACGCGCGTGCTCCACGCAGCCGGCCTGGCCGCACCACCGGAGCTCACGCCTCCCGCGCGAGTTACCTGAACTGCACTCTCTTAAAAGATGTTTTCTTTCTTCCTTCTTTCTTTTCTTTTCCTTCCCTCCCTTCTCCCTCCCTCCCTCCTTTCTCCCCGACCCCCTTCTCTGTCCGTTTAGCTCGGTAGTTCTGTGAACATTGGTTTCCAAGGACACAGGACCTGAAGCCAGAAATCCCCAATTCCGATTTTCTGCAATTCAATTGCGTTGTGATAACTCAACTAATCTCGGCCTCAGTTTCTTCACCGGTAAAATGGGGATAATACAAGGTGGCTGACACAGTGTTTGTAAAAGCTCCTCGTAGAGTTTTCTGAGTTGTGAAATATGAAATCGTGAGTGGGTGAAAACCTAAAAAAAAAAAAAAAAAAAAAAAGGGCCTCCACAACTTTCCTCTCCAGGAGCTTTTCTCATTCTATTCCGAACAGAGGAATTTCAGCTGCTCTGGGGTGCAAGGGGAGAGAAAGGGGCAGAAAGAGGGGGAGGAGGAGGGGGAGGAGGAGGCAGAGGAGGAGGGAGAGGGGAATCCAGCTGCAGTACCCCTGGTACCTGCTCCGAACCCGCTGCGAACCCGGAGCTCTGAGCCGGACCAGGCGCGTCCTGGGCCAAGGGCCTGCCTTGGGCGGGGCCACCGCGGATACTCCGGAGGCTCGCGGCAGCGCCCGCAGGCGTTGGGTGCAAGTGTTCTGTGTTTGCTTTTAGTTCCTCACACCAGGCTAGAGGTTGAAGTTATTATCATCACCATCTTCGCTCACGCTGATTTGTCTGTACTTGATTGGCAGTCTTTGCAAAGCAGGTTCCCATTCACTGGCTCATCCCCGCCTCCACACAACCCTCGAAGCAGAAGGCTCAGAGTTTTAGGATTGAGCCACTTCCCAGACAAGGCGGGTGAGGCTGCGGCTACAAATGCCAGAGCACAGACCCCAGCGCGCGGCTCCTGACCTCACGCCTGGACTACTAGGTTCCTGTGCGCCCAAGTAGTGCCCCAGCTCGAGGGAACGGCTTCTAACCAGCTGCTGCGACGCCTCCTGGCTTTGCGCTCCCTCTAGCCTGGTCTCTGGAAGTTCCACTGCACCTTCCCTCATCCAAAGGGTGCCTTCAGTTTAAGGCGTGTCCTGAACAAGGTAACTGAAAAGCAAGGGGACAAACCCTGCTGGCCATGGCCGAGGTGCGGGCTGGAGAGAGGGGAGAACCGGCCAGGCCTGCCAGCCCCACCTCCCGCCCGTGCGGGGTCCAGGAGTCTGCAACTCGGGTTTTCTACAAGACGCTGTAGTGGAGTTCCTTTTTCAACCCACGGAAATCTCTCCATAGTCATCTAAGAGAAGCCCATCAAGTTCATAATTTAGAATAACTGTCTGTGATTAAAACAGCAGGGATTGGCCGGGCACAGTGGCTCACGCCTGTAATCCCAGCACTTTGGAAGGCAGAGGAGGGCGGATCACCCGAGGTCAGGAGTCCGGGACCAGCCTGGCCAACACCATGAAACCCCATCTCTAGTAAAAATACAAAAATTAGCCAGGCATGGAGGCATACGCATGTAATCCCAGCTACTTGGGAGGCTGGGGTAGAACTGCTTGAACCCGGGAGGCGGAGGTTTCAGTGAGCTGAGATCCCATCAATGCACTCCAGCCTGGGCAACAAGAGCAAAACTCTCTCGCGCGCTCTCTCTCTCTCTCTCTCTCTCTCTCTCTCTCTCTCTCTCTCTCTCTCTCTCTCACACACACACACACACACACACACACACACACACCGAGCAGGGATTTCAGATGTACACCTGCAGCTTCACTACACTGACTGAAGCAGGCAGAACAAAAGGACATTAGGTCAGTTTCACAGAATCTGAGGTCCAGTAGCTTTTCCACATGAACCTAGGGAAAAAGGAATGTTGTTTTCAGACTAGATTGCTCCTGAATGTGGGTAGTACAGACCCCTTATAACATCAAAAGCTTTTTGTAGTTGCTTAAAATACTAAGATACAGTTTCCCTGGGTCAGGCATTCCTGGTTACTGCAGAGACCCCCCCCCCCCCCCCGTACACACATACTTGTGAGCACCCCTAACCCACCACTTGT